ACACCGGAATAGGGAGTTTCAGGAAAACTTCCGCGGGACCCCTTGCCACACGTAAGGAGATTCTCTGCAGCTCTGCTGAACAGAGAAGTGTTCTCCTTACATTCCCACACCAGAATCCTCGGACGCATGGCTTCCGACAGAGATCCATTTCAAATAGAAATAATGAGTAACCCGTTCTTGGATTGTTGATAATCCAAATAATGTAGAGGAATGAGTCACATAATCAGACTGTAAAAATTACTGAAATTTCATTGTTTTTAGGCATAAAACACTGACACAGAGAACTCACAATATGTATCTAAAAATGAGAACATCTATGAAGACTTGGTAATTGAATGTCATCAATTCAAAGTATTTAGACTCAATCACTACACTAGAAACTTCAAGTGCTCTGAAATATTACAGCTCATATGTAAAAAAAAGGCTTGGTAGAATTTTTCTTAAATTTGACAATCATAAACATTTACACAGAATTATCAAATTAGACCATTAATTTGAAAGAAACTTTTCTAAACTCAATAAAATTGTATCAATCTTGCTAAAGGAAAGACAATTACCTTTCTATTCTCTATATAATGATCTTACACCTCATTGTCAATTGAGCTAATAAAACCGTATGCAGCCAAAATATGTAACTTCCATCGAATTTGTTGGACTGAGCAGGACTGAAGCTATGTTGGAACCTAAAGCTGCCTGGGCTGCATGGGGCGGGGGTGGGGGAGGCAGATTTTTAAAAGGACGGTTTTTTTCTCTCCACTCTTGCTTCCCATCCCCTGACTTTCTTATCTCACTCACTAAGTAGGAAAACAGGGCGGAGAAGCTAATTAGTACTTTGCAAAGCTAACAGTTCTTTCTTTGAAACTTGTAGAGTTTTGAGATATGATCAAGGCCAAATGACTGAAGCTCACCTTGGGCACCAGCCAAGTACAACAGCGCAAATCAAAATCTTGCAGGGTCCTGAGATAACAGGGAAGATGAGAACAGAAACCAGATGAGGCCTTGGCAAGACCTCATACCTGACCCATAGAAACAGACCCGTCTCCTTCTCTCCTGCTTTTCACCTCCCACATTCCATTCCCTCAACCTTTCCTTTGAAAACCCTTAAGTAAATGTAAATCTTTGAGATGGGATAGCCTACCATCTCTTTCAGCTGAACACATCTGCTTTTCTAACACCAACCATTTGAGTTCTGAGGTCTTTTCCTTTCCTTCTCAAGGGGGTGGACAGCCGGACCTGAGTCCGATAACAAATTCTGTTGGCAGTTTAAACGTTAGGTTCTTTTTCTGAATTCTTTATGTTCGTGGGTTTTGTCAGTTTTAAAAGTTTGCAATCTGTACTAATTTATTAATTCCAAATAAATATTAATTTTCGTTTCTAATTTTGAATTCACAAATTTTATTGCAGCGCTTCTGTTTTAAGAACCTGCAAGTTGTGTAAGCTTTAGTTGTGAGGTGCTTGCACAGAGGAATCCAAGACATGTTGGTTTCATAGGTCTTTTAATAGTTGACAGCTCTTTTTGACGTTACAGCGCTTTATTGCTTGCAAGCAAGGGGAGCACTGGGGAGTGAAGACTCCTAGATCAGCGTCTCTCCAAACAAAGGAAACAGATAGCCAAAATTCCCGCCCTGACCTTCCGCCCAAGTTCCCATTCAGGTCTTCCTGTGTAAATGAGGGATGCAGTCCTGCTAATTTGTATTGGCTGATTATGGGACACAGTTTATTAGTCAGCTCTGGAGCATAATTTGCATCCAGACCTTAGGGCGGTGTGAGACTGTTATTTCCTATTAGCACATGGATACAGGCGGGTGCAGGAAACAGTCAAGCCAGAGTTTGCGATTAAGACCGCCAGGCATAAAATTTCTGAAAGTTTCTCCAGTGGAAGGGGGCAGGTCTAACAATCAGAAAATGCTCAGGGTTCTTCACTACACTTTGGGATACAACCCCTAAATGTACTTTGGTTCAATGAGTCTCAGGACACAATGTTGAGTATAAAAAGCAATTTGCAGAACAATGCATTCAGTATAACTCCATATACAAAGTTTAAAAGCATGCAAAATGTATTACTATGTTGTTTACATATAAAATCAAATGTGGGAAGATTATAAAAAAAGGCCCATAGAGGGTTTCAGACACAGGATGAAATTATGCCTTTTGTGGCCCCAGGCATTTTTTGCCTTCATGGAATTTTCCTACATAAAAAAATAGTAAAAATGATATGACTGTGTTGGTATACAAATACATTAATGTTGCATAGTAAAAGATTCCCTTCAACCCCAAATCTCACACGTCCCCCTCCTAATTTTATAAGAAGTTAAAACATATTTGTGTGCTCCTAAAACTATTTTGAGCCTTAGGCCTGAGTTACCCCGTCAACTGGACAAGTCTCCCAGTTCAAAAATGAGGGTGATGTTCTGTCTTTCACACTGCTAGCCATTTATATTCTTTCATACCTACTCTAACAAAAATCAGTTTAAGGAATATAGAGCTAAATCTTGTAATAAATTCTGGAGGGACATACATCAAAATCTTAACTATGCTTATATTAGGGACATAAAAATTCAGGTGGTTTTACCATCTTGTTTATTTCTGTTTAAACAACCTTAATGGCCATCCAGATCCTGAGTTTTAAGAACTTATTACATACAAGTATTGTTTTTTAAATGATACATATACAATGTACAACACAATATCATTTGAGAGTTTTGTAACTCTCTCATTTGAACACTTCATTTGAACACGGTTGAAACGTCACCAGGTGAAGAAAAACCAGAAGCGTGGCAAATACCGGTCTTCGCCTGCTGCTCTAACTTCCACTCCTGCTACTCCCACGAGGCATGCGCCGTTACTGGAAGGTTCCCTCGCCGGGGACATTCTTCCCTCCCTGCATTCTTCCTCGGTTTGCTCCTTGTCATCCCCGGGTTCGGGTTCTCGATAAGACCGTCGCTGACTACCCTATATGACTCAGGCCCATGTCAGCCTCTTCTTTTTCTTCTAGGATGAGTCACCACTGGCTGTTATTGTGTTTTCCTGTCTCCTCTATCAGGACATAAGATGGGGACGCCTCACATCAGGGTCAGGAGAGACGTTAAGAACATGGGCAGGCTTTCCAGTGGGTTTTACTCTGTTGTATGTCCTATATCGCTCGCGTACATGACAATACCGAATGTAACCCTCTTCTCTAACATATGTACATTCCCCAAAAGTTACGTTCACATGATTTAAATTGTACTTAATGTCTTTAAAGGAAATATAAAGAAGATCCTTCACTGTCTGTAACTCACCCAGCCGAAAAGCCTGAGGCGTTAGAAAAAGAAGAAAAAAGACGGAACGGAAACGGCTGGAGGGTAGGCGCCTCCAGAAGCCACCCCGCCCGCCAAGGTCGCGGCTCAACCGCAAACTTTTTCTGTCCCCGCTAGCGTCCCCGCTAGCGTCCCCGCCCGGACGCTCCTGATTGGCCGGGCCCTAGGAGCGCGGAAGTGACGTCAGCGCCCGCTGTCGTTGGGAGGGTGCGCACAGCGCGGCCTCTCTTCGACGCCCCGCCCCTCGGCGCACCAAAACAAGCAGGCGG